CTGTGGTTAGCTATTTTGTTATCTGGTGAAGACATGTTGGATAGAAGTAGGAGGAAGTAGACTCGCGAGAGCATAAAGAATGTTAGTAGACAATCATCTGAACACCGATAATGAGAGTGATAATAAAACTGAAGGCTCCAAATCAAGCATAACGGTTGTACTGCAACATGCAGTCTACTCCGATCTTACATCTAGAATGGAAACCTAAGAGGCTGTAAAGAAATGTCTCATAAAAAGAAAAAATGAAGCATTCCGCAAGCGTGTGAGGCACCGGACGTACACATATGGGATTCAACAGAATGCAACAGAAAGGTAAATAACGATAGCAACAGGGAAGTTGTGAAGTAAAGAGAGATTGTTGCTAAGACATATTACATCGATGTTGTCGATCGAAAGCTCAGTTTCATTTTTTACAAAAACTGATATAGAAGAGACACAGTGGATGCCTAAGAATCCGCTTCAGTCACATAAACCCCTAGCCATATTGCGTGTTCCCTTAATATTTGACGATCCCTTAAACAGGACAACCTAAATAATTGCTTGACCGATAGGGCCACAACAACATATGCATTGTGGACAAATTAAATATAGTAAAATGTGAGGGGATGAGGACGTGATTCACACCAGTTTCTCGTGAGAGACATAATCCTCTGTCACTGGTCTACTCTAGGTTTGAAAATTCGAGGTGGAAAACCAAACCGCGCCGGACGTCTCTGTGCCTATGTCACCCGGGTAAAACCGGGCAGTCCTGCGGATGTGGTCGGACAACTTCGAGCTGGCGACGAGGTGCTCGAGTGGAGCGGTCAGTCATTGCGCGACTGTACGGCAGATGAGGTGAGCCGTATTGTTCATCAGTCGAAGGCAGATGCCCAAGTCGAGCTGATCGTGCAACGCGATCTTGAGTGAGTTACACGCTGATCACTTCTTTCTTTTTATCTATCTATGCCCCCGATCGACACATCACCTCTCAGGCACAAACGTGTTGTTGTTTCGGTAGTCTAGATAAATAAAAATAAACGTGCGGAAAGTTGACATAGTACTAAGTTTTTGCCGTCGTTCAGCTGAACAATACACCTAACCTAGACGGGCTACATGAGGTTCACCACTCCATGCCCCGAGGCTTGCGGTGCCATGTATCTTTGTGTAATAACCAAAAAATAGTACTGCAGAGTTATTATTCCTCGTTGTGACTGCTCTAGGCAACTGTTTCGAGATAGATTAATCTCCTCGTTTGTGAATGCTACACCTCTAAAAACTAAAAAAATAATTGCTAATTAAACCAGCACATTTTCAGTGCAAATCATTCGGGCGAAATGTAGAAAATCCTGCGGAAATTTAAAAGAACTGTTTTCAGGTACTGTTCACACTTGTGAGTAGTCTACAGATACCAAGAGGCGGTTATTGGTTTCTAACGGAATTTGCGAGTGAATTGAAGGATTTAATTTTGTAAATACGGATCATTCCATTAATTATCCAGTGTCTTCGTGAGAATTCTGAAAGCTGGTTAAAAATGAGAAATCATGATGTATTTAAGTCAATGTACCGATACTCTCACCGCTAATCGCAGTAAATGAAGCTCCTCTTTCTGGAACTGCGTAGTGGTTTTATAACACTGGTACGACATTAGCGATTCCATTCTATACTGGAAAATACCCGTGGATTGCATCGAGAAGTCAATTTGACAAACAAGC